CTCAATCAACACTCCGCACTTTCAAAGTTCAATCAAGAATACACCTTGCAATTAACATAACCATAAGGTTATCACAACATCCTTAGACATAAACCCAAATCTAATGTGCATGGACTATAAAACTCTTTTAAAAAATTATACTTTAATATAAAATTATAACTTTTAAATAAGAATTTATATTTTAGAAAACTAACCATGAAGAAAATAAAGGAATAGGATTAAAGAGAATTGAATTTGCGTTGGAAAGAATAGGCAGAACTTTCACAGGCCCTAACTCCTTCAATATAACTTCGAATTGGGTGATTCTTGAGCCTAACCTCAAGGAATTTTTGAGAGAAACAATTTTCTGTGAAATAGAAAAAACCCAAATATGACCAAAAGTGCCCGAAAATTGACTTCAAAGGTATACGGGCGGATTATTTATGAAAAGAGTAGAAGAAAAGAATGAAAAGGTTTAGGGAAAAGAAAATTAAGAGAGAAGAAGAGAATTGGATTTTGGGTGTGAAGAATATGAGAGGTATGAGGGGGTATTTATAGGCTCATGAATGAAATAATAAGGCAAGATTTTGTAGAAGAATTATGGTAATTTTGGTTTAAGGCATTACTTGGAAAAGAGAGTTTAAGAATTAAGGAAGGTTTAGTTTATGGTGATTAGGAAATAGTGAAATAAGGTAAGTAGTTTCATCATGAAATGGAAGATAGCAAGTAAGCTTGCTTGAAGAATAATCAAGAAAGATTTAAGGAAATAAATTCCATGATCATATCTTTGTGAGATGGAAAAAAAAGAATTAAGGAAATAAGGTATTTAAGGAAGATAATTAAGATACAAAACTAACAGAATAATTAACCCAAAATTAACATAGGGTGGCCGAAAATATTGAGCATATCCATGCTCATATTTTCGGACCTCCACTACTAGTTTTAGGGAAATATTTGCTAGATTTTAAGGATTAAAAATGATCGTGTAAATACTCCCTTTGTCCCATAATACATGACACAGTCAAACATTGCACACATGCCAATGCACTAGTTTGACTTTATTTTTATATATTTAAATATTAATGAAAATTATTTTAAAAATTATATTATGAAACTTTATATTAAAATCTATCTAAAAACATATTTGATGATAAAATATATTTTTATTATGTCAGTAAAAAATTATGGTCAAACCTATTACATGAATAGTGAAAAAAGTCCAACGTCTCATGTATTATGGGACGGAGGGAGTAATATATTTTGTAGAAATTATTAACTTAAAACTAACTTAATTAACTAAGAAAAATCAGATTTTCTACACTTAGAAAATCCGAAAATCTTACTAATTAATTTAGGAATTTCGGCCCTTTAATTTATAAATAGGAAATATAATTTTTTCGTTGATTAAAATATCCGATATATATATATATATATAATTCGGTTTTTATTAAAATAAATGGATAATAAATCTTATCCAAAATCCAAAATAATAAGTCGAGTTTTGAAAATGTTTTTGGCGCCAAAATTCAAATATCATTTTGGCTCCAAAATTCAAATAGAAACTAATTTACTAAAATACCCTTTTTAGAAAATAATAATTAATTAGAAAATACTTCTTAAAAATACAGAGTATTACATGTAGGCTTGGCTTCAGCATCTTGAGCTCAGGGAGGCTAATTTACAAGGCCAATTATTAGATGCAAGAGCCATTTGTTATGAAGTTGAAAAGAAGATTGTCAAGATAGAAAGACAATTGGATGAAGTTGTAGCTGAGATTTATGAAATTAGGAGTATTGAATAAGGAAAAAGGGGTAGAAAGAGGCTTGAAGAGGATTCTGATCATGGTGTGATTGATGCTGAGTTAGGTAAGCCTGAGTTGGTCAGAACTGAAGTGGTTGAAAATGCAGTGGTAGCTGAAGTTGCTAAGGATCAAATCATATGGCTGCTAAAAATAGGGAAGAGAATGAGGTCTGAAGGTCAGAAAGTAAAAGGCGAAATGGTGATTGGAGGTGGTTATTGGTGGTGGGGATGATGTGAATGGTGAAAAGCTTAATGGGGATCATATTATCTGGATGAGGAATATGATTAAGATTATGGAATTATGATATGATTAGGAAAAGTATTTTGTTTTGTGTTTGGTTAATAATTTAGTTAAAGAGGTGTTGTTAATTATTAGGTTACTGATATAGTTAGCTTGTTTAAGTATTGTTAGTTTTGTTGTTAACTGTGGTGTAATGGAAGTATCCTTTAAACTTTTGAAATGAAATGGAAAACACTTTTTCCATATGTGATTTGGTTTGTATAACTCATGTATAGATGCCACTGTATTGTGTTTCTGTTGCTGATATTTTGCTTTGCTCATAGTTGCAGTTCTGTTTGTTCTCAAATAATGTTGTTGCAGATACTCTATTTTAAATTGATTGTCCAGCTATAAATTTGTGATTATACTCGATGTATTTTTTAAAATGGATTTGTAGTAATGGATGATATGGATTAATAACTAGTGTGGTGAGTGGAAGTGTTACATAATAATTTTTGCCTCAGGGAGAGTAAAAGTGGAGTAAATGTTATTTTTCAAACGTTAGTAGATTAAATAGGCAGAAAAGGTTTTGAGGTTAAACAACAACTTCTTTGTAAAATCCAGTAGGTTTAAGGATGTTATGATGCTATTTATTTTCCAGCAGGTAATAAGGAGTTGTTGTCAGTAATGATGTTTGTTATTATCTAATAGGTAATAGGCTATATACAGTGCATATCAATGAAACTAAATGTGTTTTGTGGTTGATAGCAGCAATAGTTTTAAATGGTCATGCAGGTGCAAAACCAATTTGACAAGCTAAATAAGAAGTGACAAAAGTTGACTTCTTAGAGATCTTACAAAAGATTTTATGTGACGGATTTGCGGATTATAGCAATAATATCATAGTGCAGTAACCGAGGTAATTTAAGAATTTCCTTTTTCTTTACTCTTCAAAATCTTTTCCATGTGCAAGGCACTGTGTTTAATTTTGTTCCAAAAGAATAGTAACATAATGCATGTGTTCTGATTAGCATAATTAATTGCACAAAAGTAAGAAAATGATTAATAGAGACAAAATTTGGTTTGTCTGTTTTTTTTTCTTTCTTCTTATAAAGATGTTATTTGTAATTGAATTAAGTTCATTGTGGTAGAATTATATATCTACTTATTGGTAATAGTTTTTAGAAGGAACAATAATGCATTTTCTTGTTTAACAACCAAGACCAATTAAAGCTAACATAATAGGAATTACATTTGAATGCATGTGTGTATAAGACATTGCAGTACATAACTCCAATTTTTCATGACAATAGAACAGTTACATTTAATATTAACAAGCAAGAGTAGGTAACAAATCTTTCATTGCCTTTGAAACCGCCTTTGAAACCTATGGTGCTTTAATCAAAATAGTGCCAAGATGAAAGCATTTGATCCACCTATACATGGAAGATGGTAGAAATGTACATTAGTGGATAACAATGTAAAGTTACAGAAAAACTATTAAATCATAAGGCATAGTACCTGTGACAGACCAAGTTACATTATACCAGACAATCGCAGCACATCATATGCGACAATGTTCTTAAGAACTGCTGTTACATGATCTTCAGAAGGGTGAGGTGCAATAACAGTTACTTTTTCAGATTTTTTAACTCTTAACAAAGCAACATATAATTGCCCATGTGAAAAGCATGGTTGTGGCAGGTATACAAGGACTTGGTTGAATGTTTGGCCTTGAGACTTGTTTATGGTCATTACAAAACTATGTTTGATAGGGAACTGTATGCGTTCGAATTAGAATGGATACTTTGTTGATGATGGAGGACAAAGGTTACAACGGTGGATGAAAACATATTCTCCTTGGTATTGCACATACCAATTGCTATTGCACATACCAATTGCTATTGTACAGACAATAACATTAGGGAAAAAACTCTTGCAAATGAGTCATGTGCCATTGCATAGCCCATCAACTAGAGCTATGTTTCTTAGGAGGATTACAGGACTATTTTCTCTGAGAATGAATCCATGCGGACTCATTCCACCCGGTGCAAGCTTGTTTAGGAACTCAGTTGGGTAGATGGCACAATTATCATCAAGAATTGTGTCAAAGCTCTTGTAAACTACAGGAGTTCCTGGAAACTTTTCAATCAACATATTGTTTATCGAGTCAAGAACATCATTCATCGGTGTGAGAATAGCTCTGTCTGTGAAAATATCTGGGGAAAAATGTGCATTCCCTAGTTGAGGGAATGCAGCAGCAGCAAGATGGATTGATTGGGTCTTCATCTAGTTCAAAGTAGCTTACAATGTGATTAGGGAATTCCACAAGAGCATTTTTAGTGGACTACAGTTGGCCATTACCTAAACTCAGTAAAAAAGATGCATAGGGCTGGTCTTCTTTGGCTCTGATGTTTTTAGTTAGATGCAGTTTTTCTAACTAAGGTCAAACATGTGAACTAACCAGGCTTGCTGCAACAGCTTCTCGTTGAGATTTCAACGGAACAATTGGCAGAACTTGCCTGAAATCTCCCCCAAATATTATGACTTTCCCGCCGAATGGCAGATTTGGATCACAGAGATCACGAAGTAAGAGTTCAACTGATCCAATGTTTTCCCTTCGCGCCATTGAAGCCTCATCCCAAATTATAAGTGTTGTTTCTTTTATTAAAGCAGCTAAGCTACCTTGTTTAGGTACATCACAAGCAAGGGATGCATGTAATTCAGGTGGAATCTTGAACTGTGAATGTGCTGTCCTGCCAGATGGTATGTTTGAAGCTGCTATTCCTGATGTTGCTGTTGGAAGTACAATCTTCCCCGCAAGACGTACCTCAGCATATAGAGTATTATACAAAAGTGTTTTCCCAGTCCCTCCCGGGCCATCAATAAAAAAACAACCAGGTTTCTCTGCGCGGACTTGAGAAATAATTCTATCGAACGCTATTTGCTAAGCTGAATTTAGTTTTTCTCTACAGTCAACACATTCTTGGGGAATGGATTCTTATAAGGCATCAATGTTGTCCTTAGTTCTGGTCAGCTTAGGGGATAAGTCTTCATGCAAGTGTTTGAGCCGGAAATCTGCCAAGAATTTCCCTAAAGATTCCAAGTGCTGCTGCCTAACTTGCTCTTCAATTTCTGGGTACCTGTGCCTGTAGTCCTCAGACAAATATGTAAAGAACCGTAACCAAAGAGTTTTCGGGTTGTTAGGTTGGCAAAATACTAACGTAATAGCAAACAGGCGACGTAGAGCTACAAGCATATGAACCTCTGCTACCTCAGCTAAAAATGAAACAACTGCATCATCTTCCTTAAAGAGCCGTCTTTTGATAGATGCTTCTTGGAAGCGAGCACAAAGCACTCCATCCACAGTCCTAAGATCATTGAATGACTTAGGACTTTGCACATTTATAAGAAGCAAGCGCAAGAAAAAACGTTCTCCTTTTGCTGGTGCTACAAATGCAAGACGACCAATCACAATTTTCTTTGTTTTCCTTTCAAACCAAGCCTTAGCACTGCTACCCCATCTATTATGCTTAATGAATTCACTATAAAGGTATCCTGTACCTTTAGGAGAAGCTGCATTAGCTTTAAAGAATTTTGTTAGTTGAGTCCTAGACCTCCATCCATTCAATATAACAGAATATAGCTGTTCATAAGGCCTTATCTGGACTGTGTGCATGTTTTCTAGGTGCACTTGCAAAGGTTGCACAGGAGGGTGCATCTCAAACAAATCAAAGCGAAAGATCCTCCAAGCTGCTTCAAATGGCGAAACCCACCGACAAATTGAAATCTATCAATCTCATCTACACAAGTATTTTCCTCTCAACAACATTAAAGATCCTTTGTCACGTCCTTTATACACATATTTGTATAAGTATTTTACAGAATGAATAGTTGAACAGACATCCACATTTAAATGACAGTCAAATAAAGCTGAAAGGTAACGATTGTATGGAATAACCCAGCTATTATCAAGGGCTGCACCACGGATCCGAACAATTTCTCCAGTGTTCTTTCTTCTGTACATAGGATAACCATCATCATGATTTGTTGTTTCTTGTAGGAATTTTTTGGGATACCCATATTTACATGACACAAATCCATCATTCTTTTGAACCATGCATGAACATTAACGGTTCAAGCGACCACATGACCCATGCATCATATGACCAACAATTATTTTCTGGAGATGTGAAGAGCTTTGAGGTGGCAACTTTGCACATACAAACTGATCAAAATCTGTAGGGGTTTTTATCTTGAAATCTTCTTTTAGTATGATAAGGAAATAAGCATGAGGAAGGCCTCTTTTTTGGAACTCAACTACATATATCATAGCAGCTACTTTCCCAAAAACATGTTTCTTCATGATTTGTTCTTTGAGACAAATCAATTTTGAGTGGAAAACTATGGCGACTATGTCTAGGCAATTTTGAGCAGCTTCACTAGTAGCTAGCTCAATTTTGATCTCTGGACAATTTGCATCACAAGTCATAGTCACAAATAGATCTGGTTTTCCAAAGCGCTGAACCAAAGACATGGCTTTCAAATACCGCCATTTCATGTCACGTGGACCACCAATGAAAGTTGGTGGTAAAATGACCCGGCGACCAACATTTATAGCACTTGTTTCACCGCTTTCAACAGTATCTAAAATCCCTTGATACAAATCAGCTCTAATTGTTTGCTGATTGCAAGTAGTTAAGCCGAGTGTTTTCAATCTTCACATATATATCAACTATGTACTGCTGGAAACATCTTCCTGCACACAGAAGCATGTTGTTTGGTTGGCACTACAGCTTGTAAGCATAGTATTCACGTGGCGAAACATGTCTTACTAAAGTTCCATCTGAATCTACTGAACCTGTAAGCAGAATTATATTACAACATTAAAACTGTAAAAAGGCATGAAGTACATTATTTAATATAAGTGCATGAAAGGAAGATATATTGCCTTTTTTCTGAACTTACACTTAGCTTCTTCTTGCAGGAGGTCTTCCTCAGTGTGTACAGTAGAAGATAGAACAGGGTTAGGTTCCATGATTGGTTGTTGATGAGCTCCGATATGATTTTATTAAGACCTTGAGCCCAGCCACAATCACCCCGAGGGAATAAAAGAGGATACTGGAGCGAATCATAGCATCCATAGTTATGATAAATTCTATGATAAGTTTGTGACTTCCCTATAACGGTTATGTATGGACCATGGGTCTCGCTTGACAAAATGCTTTCAGGCTATATTACAACTACTTCATTACTTGTAGGAGCATTGCACACGTGTTGACCTGGAACATTTTTTTTATTAATAATAATATGTGTATCCTCATTAATGTCTAGTTCTTTTAAAGGCCTAAAGAAGCGAGCATAGGGATTTTATAGACTAATTCTCATAAGAATATCAATAATATCTTGTCTAATCTCTAGGAAAGCCCCAATTCTGTTTGCTGCCTCACAGTGAGCATCATAAAAATAAAGTTATAAGTATTTAGGGCCTTCATCACCAGTTATTAAATCTGGCAAGTAATGATATATTTGTCCATGCAATTTGAATACATAAATTCCTGTATGTGTTTTGGCATCAAAGTTTCCACCTAGTGAGCTAAATGCAAATAAGTTGTTATACAATCGAATGTTGTCTAAAATATTGTGCATCTTTATTGTTAGATGTAAAAAGTCGGTATAGTTCAGGTGGGAAGTCATCTGTGGCCAGAATAGTATTTCCATCTCCACAACAAAAGTGTAATGACTCATGCTCAAATTTCTTGGCATTGCATTTTGCACAGACTATGGGTTGTTTCAATTTCAAAGGGCTGGTAGGTAATCGTAACCCAACTACAGCTGCTGGAGTTTCTGGCATTGAACTATTAAATATTAGGAAGTTAACAAAGCATTCTCATACACACAGCAAATATTTTCTTAACTCTAGTTTTCTTCACAACCTGCCTTGGTGAGCTGTGTGTATCTGATTTAGCTATTTCAATGATAGGTAAAACAAATAACCAAACATAATGAGAATATGTGCAGTTGCATGTACAACTAACAGAAGATGTACATTACATGCTTACTTTTTTTCCTAGCCCTGCTTTTCATCATCGTCTGTGTTCCACTACTCTGTGCATTGATTTCACCTACTTCTCTAGATAATGGAAGCAAATCATCATAGGAAAAAGTAAGCTGAAATAAACATATTAAACAAGCGATGTTTATTTGTAACAAGCATATGGCATACAAATACCTAATTGAAACCGGCGCTGTAGACATAGTTGCAATTGCTTCTAAACGCTTGCTAACTCGAGTTTTTGTAGTAAGGTTATTATAGAGCAGGCAGTGGTCTGACGTCTAAGCAGTGTTTATATCAATCACATCATTAATTGCTCCTACTTGCTCTAAAACTAAATTTCATGTGAATTAGCATAGGATAATTAGACAAGAAACACCATGACATGTATTAAATTGTGCTTACTGTGGTCTATAGTTTTATCCTTCTTTGCTACCTGATTGGTTGCGTTCTCTGTGTTTAAAACATTGGCACCAATGGTACCAGAATCCTGCTGATGAGATATTTGTGCACTAATGTTGCTTAATTCACTGCAATATGAAAAGGGATTATATATGTAGGCAAGCAAACACTGCAAATCAATGGGGTAAGGGTTGTGTTCCTGAAAAATCAAGGAAATGTATGCAAATACCTTATTGAGATAGGTGGCTGAGACATAGATTCAATTGTCCGTAAATGTTTGCTCATTCGGGTTTTCGGAGGAGTTTTCTTATTAAGCAGACACCGGTCTGACAGCAATGCATTAAATTACAAAGAAAAACACTTGTTAGCCAAATGCAACAACATGTCAAGAGCATGTGTCTGTTCACTTGCTGACTTAAGCAAAATGGGAAAGAGAGGCACGTGATTTACTCATGATAGCAGTATCAGATTGTAAAAAAAGATGCAATAGTCGGCCACATAAGTTTGTTTAGGCTTGAATTTGCTGATGTTAATGTGCAGTCCCAACTATCACACCCTGTAAACATAAATCATTGCACAAAGGCTAAATTCTCTGTAGTATTTACAAATACAGCTGACTGGATAAAAAAAATTCACCATTTAGTACAAGATAACATTGAGTCATTAAAAAAAGAACTAAACTTTGCTGAATATAAAAGATCAATGCAGTAAAAAACAAAGATAATGTAGAAGTAAACAAACCTAGCAAACAAGAGAATATGAAAACCAACTAATTTTCATTGATAAACTGCAAAAGGATGCAATACATCATAGTTTGAATAACCAAATAAGCAGTTCTATCTAATCTTAACTAACACATTAGGACTTAGCTGCAACAACTAAACCAGGTAGGGTATAAAATGCTAACGTGCTAAGGTCTTACGCCTAAGATAAGAATATTTTGGAAAACACCATAATAATAAAATAGGCGTCCTATGTTAAATAGTTGTTACAACCTAATCAAACTTCCTACGCTTAAATAAGCTGTTAAGTTCAGCGGTAACTACAAATGGCTGTCCACCAACTCGGTCACCAAAGGAAGGACGAGCTTTAGGCTTGCAAGGTGCATGTGGAGGAAGAGCAGGCGTGGGAATCATATTCATGCCAGTCTTTGGCGTAACATAACATTCTTCACGTAAGTACAGAGGCAAATGCAAAGCTCCCCGAATCCCCAGAACTCGTTCCTTAACTGCTAAGTAGCTCTATCTAGCCAACGAACACTTAATACCAGCATAAACCTCATTGCCATGATTCAGGTCCACTATGTCAAGGTTATACAGAGAACTCAAGTAATTAAAAGCTCTCCTAGCCGCGTCTTGTTTGGCAGCCTTGTAGTCAGGCCTGATAATGTTGAAAATGCATTCCATCCTAACAGCACTTGAAGGAATGTAGATGGTTAGCCAAGACACAAATTTTGCTGTGTAAATTTTGAAAGCATCCACTTCAGAAACCCGTGCATTAGTTTCTAAAGTGAAAGTGTGCAAGACATCCATGAAATCAATGCGCACATATTTCTTACGATGCTTCTAATTAGGCACAGCAGGCAACTTCAGTGGAGACTTGTTCAAGTCTCTTTCCATGGTTTCCAGCTCAACACGCTTCATCTGATATAGAAATTCACGCTTCTCAAGTTTGCTGATCCTCTCAGTAGTCAAATCATCAATCTGAACATCGTATTCCATCCGTAAAGAACGAACTACAGCTTCAGTAGCCCATTCACGTGACTGTTGAACCTTATCAGCTGCGCCGCCTTAAAAAATATAGGGTAGCAAACCACTATCTGTTTCCAGTACAAGGTTCACCGCATTTTCACCTACATCCACCAAGTAGTAAAGCTGATAGGGGAATTGCAAGCACTTAATCACTTGTTGTAAAAGACAGCTGTAAGAAATTAAAACTTTTCGAGTTTTAGTGCTATTCACCTGTTTGCAAGGCCATCATAAAAACTCAGCAACTCATGCAACTTGTAAACTGGTGAAAGGGTAGTTATTAACCTACGCTAGGTATGCAAGGAATAAGAAAGCATTGGAAATACAGCATAGGTTCTGAGTACACTGTCAAACAGATATTTCGTTCTTGGTATTAAACAACTTACCAACATAATCAATTTCTAGATCAAATATGGTACTATGCAAGAATAGGTAATCTAGTTCCATAAACAATAGTTGTGCTAAGAATACTACCTCATATAAGCATTTAAAGTGGCTACCTTATATATATAGCTATTAATAAACACACCATATGCACCATACTAATAAATACACCACATGCACCAAACTCCCACAATGCACCAAACACCAAGGCTCCAAATCCATGTAGCATATACCACACACATTAACAAACATTATTAAACATCCTTTAATACAAAATAAGTTTGTAACAGAACATGACAGCAAACAACTTACAACAAAATTAGCGGTTACACCCATCGAAACCTAATCAACCTGCCAAAAAATGCAAACCAATGTGTGTGAATAACTTCCTTGTTAAGCAATTGTTTCATTGATTCAACAACAACAGTAATCTTAAGCCATAAAACCCTAAGCAACTTCTATGCAGGCAATTTGCAATAACGTAACAAAAGGGCACAGAACATGCAACCACAATTAAGCTTCAGTAATGTAGCATGCCTATACAATCTCCATAGATCCTTTGTTAGAACTATAAGATCTATTGTATTAACAGTAGCTAGCATATATTTCTTACTAAGTCATGTGTAATTGATAGTGATGACTAAATTGAACAGGAATTAAACAAATAAGTTGTTGTCGGTGTAATGTTTAGAAATTGTCCTGATCACAAAGTTTCAAACTCAAAAGTCTAAGAAAAATTGGGAGTGTATATCAGTAAGTTGTCCTAAGTATAGTTGTTTATAGCAAGTTATCCAAATAAGTTAATAAATGCCATGATATTGTGGTAGTGTTATGGTGTTAGTTAACATAGAAGCAAAGCTACCATAGAAGTCATCTCACCACAATTAAATTACCTCAACTATAATTTCCATTAAACCCAGTTGTTTGAAGCTTGCATATGGGAAAAGTAGAACTCAACCCCTCTGTATTTATGCTAAGAAAGTACATTAGACATGTAAAAGCAATGGATAATAAAGAGTATCAGAACACCTTCTAATAAAAAAACACATAATGACACAGAGGACATACGACTTAAACACAGTGGATAATAGAGTGCATCAAAACACTCTTCAAGAAACAGCATGCACCATTATCTTTGTAAGCTAGCTGTTTAAATCATCTAATCCGAAGCTAAAAGAGGATCATAACAGGGAAAAAAAACCATTCCCATTTCCCTAAGCCTAAGCAGTGTTTTATAAGGTGGATTAAGAAGCATACCCATTATACAAATCCATGTACCGCTGGGTAATAGAGTGCTTGATAAAAAAAAGTTAAGCAATATCCTGACTCTCAATACAGCATTCTACATAACCTACACGAAAAGCTGCACATCTCAATTACTAAAATATACTTAATTAGCTTGGCTCAGATAAAAAAATCTTAAACATCCCTCAACACATAAGTAGTTTG